AATTCCCCGGGGACCCGCATGCTCTCCTGGCGACTAGGCCGAATGCGGTCAAACTGGTTGTCTTCGGTGACTTCGATGACCACGTCAGGACAGGCCGCACTGTTTGGGGGTAAGTGCTGTGTCCTCATAGTCTTAAACGCTGCAACAAGAACACTCTCTTCCCTCTGTAAACCTGCTTGGATCACCGACCCCTGCTGAGAAACGCCTTTTTCCAGTTCCCGACATGGAGACCATGTCGTGTGTATGGCCTGAGTAGACGGGCTGCTCTTGGGCCTTTCTGTCACCTCTCCTAGTTTCGGCATCAGTTAATTCAATGGCTCGGTCAATTGAATGGCGCATCGGAAAGGGCAGAGAGAGCGAGGTCGATTGTCAGCACATCTTCCTCATTAGAAGCAAGCTGACGTTTTTTGATATATCAAAATGCACTACAAGCCGTGGCTTAGAAGGATGCCAATGGAATATTCAAATCAGACTTAGGTGTCAGCCCAGTGTGTGTTTATATATTTTGACCGACTGGTGGAGTGAGAGCCAACCTGCGATGACTGCTTTTTAGTTTGGCCCCTACGGCACTCTCACACATGTGAGATCAGCAGCGCCTCCCCTTTTGTGTGTAATTCTGGTGTCTTATGTGCTGGGGACCGAGTCGTTTATGCCACACACACAAACACACACGGACGAGTTCTCAAACTCTGTCAGTCACTGCGCTCTCCTTCAGCTTAATTTCATAGACCGGTTTGGACATAAAACTAGTGTCTGAGAATGGAACGAGAGGCAGTGTGGCTGCCTGTTTCAGTGTATATTGCTCAGCTACGCTTAAATCTAGCACAGCTTACTAAAAGCCGTTGCTTTCCAACATGTGGAATAACTCGGACCATGTGAGCCAGTTGCAATATTGTGTGGGCTGGTCCACTATTGGACTGAGAGTCAGACTGCAATGACCTCTTCTAAGTGTGGTCTATAGGGCACTCGCAGACAGTGGCTACGAAACCGGCTTGGTGGCAAACTTAGCTGTGGGTTCGCGCCGCATCAGCCAACTGTGTCCTCTTCCACTTCCGGTCTTATTGAATTGATCGTGACGCCAAGCCGAGGTGGCAAAGGAGGAGAGAGTATGATAGGTGGAGTACAAGTCTACTATCACTGTAAATAAATTCACGCATATGTTCCCGTCCCTGCGCTGATCTTGTTGTAGCGCATTAGAAGAACCTTGTAATGTCTGCAGCCCGACGCCCTCCTAACTCGTGACGCCACAGACGAGGCCACTCAGAGCATAGAACCTCGCGCAAAGGCAGTTTTTGGCATGCCTCGGACCAAGCGCAAGCCTGAGCACCTTGCCTCCCCTGTCCTGGCCTCAGTCCACAGTGCCTTGACCTCAATCCGCCCAATGGGATTCCCGCGTTAGTAGACTAGCCTCATTAAGTAGGTTGGCCTCAATCCGTGTGGACACAGACCACAATGCGTTGTCTGCCCCTAGGCATCACTTCGGACCTAGCCCGCCTCTCAGCTGGACATGCGCTCCTACAGTCAAATTTCCTTCTACCTATTCTCCAACCTCTCTGTATAAAATACACGTTTTCTATCACTCTGGCCTTCCCATGACTCCTCTAATCTCTCAAGGAACTGGGCCTGGAAGATAGTAAACGTTAGGGTTAACATTATCAGCCTTAACCCTACTCGATAGCTTTGTCAGAATCGACGAACAAACTACTACGTGTGAACTCATAACAACAATCTACTTTGACAAGGCATTTTTCATCTTATAGTTGGAAAAGCTGTCGCAGTCCCCTGTAAATTACCGTTCTGTTTACGTTAGTTAGCGCTTTCTTTTTAGTAAGCGACAGCATTGAGGATACTTTCAAATTTTTTCAATGTGATGAATCCTCTCCCAACCCCTAAAACCCACTGAAAACTAGCACTGCATTTTTGTTGTTTATTTTTGGGAATACCACACTCCCACGACGGAGGAGCACGCGCGCACGTTTCTCACGCCGCATGTCATAAGCATGCGCCCGACAGCGTCCCGCTTTGGCTTCAGCCACAAAATATGGCAGAAAAAACCATCAACAAGCCAATTTGAACAGATTAAAGGACTGGTCAAAGCATCGGCTAATGTCCTTCAATGTTGGCAAATACAACTTTCTTCAAATCGGCAGTTGCAGAGCATCCAGCCCGAAGGTTTACTTCTTAAACGGTACACCGCTGCAACAAGTTAACAGTCATAAGGCCTTGGGTGTGTGTATTACTTATTGACACAAATAAACGCTAAACTGCGCGAACGTGGCTAAGTCAGCCAGATCTATATTGCAGCTGATTAGACCTACTTTTATAGGATTTTAAAAATATAACTTTTCAAAAATATTTGGAAGCTTCGTTCAGCCGCACTTAGAATTCGCTATAAAGGCATGGATACCTTTGAATGGCGAAGACTGTATCGTCTTAGAGAAGGTTCAAAGGTGAGCGGCAAAATGGTCAAAGATCTGGGAACGCCGCCCTATGAAAGCAGACCGTCAGCTCTCAGCCTATTTTCTCTTTCCTACAAGTAACTACGATGGGATCTCAAACTTTCCCACCATATCATGAATGGCTTGGATTGTTGCTTTGTCCCTGATGACTTTTTTATCAAGGGAAATGCGCCCACTTTGCGTGATCATCGCTTAAAACTACACCCAGGCAAAGCGAGGACCGGTGGTTGCAGCATGGAACGCTCTTACCTAAGAGGTTGTCATGTCCACCTGTGTTAATATATGTGAGAGCAAACGGGACGTGCAAAAAACACCTTATTCACCAGACATCCACTAATCAAAGAGTCGGACATACATAGACACACAGACAATCCATATGCTTATTATACTACTCGTGCTCAACGAATAGTCATCTTTTATTACTATTTCGACCGTCCAAAGACTGCTCTGTTTTCGCCTGTAAGCATGTAATTGACATACGTATATATCTCCTAACATATTGTTACTAGTAGGGATTTCGAAGGCGTTCGCCCATCTTTCTTTCAATAAAGTGATACTGATACTGAAGAATGGCAGAAAATGGCGAGGTAGCACCCGATTTTCGGTTACTTCCATATCGAGACATCACTCAGCAATTGTGCACGCACAAAACTTTTCGGTTTTGGAAGTTTCAGCATAGTTGTAGACCGCATGTAGCCTGAAAATAACTCACTACATTAGCTCATTCGATGCTGTCGTGGATTGTTGATGAACTTTTCTCCCTGGTTGGACTGTAGCTTATGGACTATGAGTTTGTTGCGCATGCCATGAAACAAAAGGAAGCAACAGATAAGCAGCTGCGAAATTTCAAACTGACTGTGGATATGGTGGTTTGGGACAAATTATATGTCTGGCAAATTTGTGTAGTGATGTATCATTAATAGCTATTCAAAAGTTTACAATTCTATTAATATTTGGTTTTGAATCCTCACTAGTCGTTCTAGTCTTTTGAGGCGAACCATCTACGTTGCCGACACAACAAAAATCAGTTGTAAGCCAATTAAATACTTCTTAAAATTATTTAAATTAATTTGACTATGAAAAGTTTATTCCGTTTATTTATGAAATAAACGTATGTATTGTCTATATTCGCTTGAAATCCCATGCACTACCAATTTTCAGTGTTTATTCCGGTGACGTTCTGCATGATATCCGGAAGAAATACCCCTGGAATATTTTTCTTCTCTTGCTAAATGTCGTAACTAGCAAATAAACCGCAATCACTGTAAATTACGTTTCGCTGTGGCGAGGTTTATTTATCACTTAACATTTATCAGTAAAAAATATCTAGCAGACACTTTTGTCATGGTAAACAAAATTTTTTGCTTTGTTTGAAAAAAAACTGTCATTTAAAATTTTGGGATACCTCAGAATACCTCTGAATAATACCTCAGAATGAATACATAAAACAGGGTAGGTGATATCCCCACATAATAGTTAGTTTATTCATTCTGTTACTACAAAGCTAACCATCTAGATTCCTTTTGCCGATTTGGTAGGAGTGTCTTTAGAGCCCTATTTGCTTTTGACTTATAATAATTAATTAATTTTACATTTTCAGTAGCCCAACTTTCCCCTTTTTCGTTAAATTCCACCAATAGATTGTCGAATTTCTATCAATAAGCATTAGTTGCCTGGGCAACAGGAGTTTATGTTAATGGAGTTGATTATACTAAGCTCATTAAAACAAATACAAGTGGCTTTAATTTAATATTTTTGGTCAATTTAAACACAATTCAATATTCATTTACACTCGTTAACCAAGAATTAAATGTTGGACCACCACTTCCGCCGGACAGTTGGGCGGGGGGAATAGATATTTAAGCGGCCCTATAAGACACTTTTACCACCACTTTCAACTACTGTCCTTATGTCATAGAAACCGTCGAGGATCCCTCTTCGCCGCCCTTACTAGCAACTCAGTACCTGGGAGCGTTCCCCGCGAGTGAAGATGACACTCGAATCTCCCGTCTGTTCAAAATATAATCTGCAGAATCTGTGTGCTCATCTGATGGGCACAATGGCTTGCAAACATATTCTTTTACCGTTCTCCTTTCTGTTTAGGTGCATATCGAAATCTTGCATATTTACTGAATTGGGTACATTCTCATAACTAAAAGGTGCAGCTCAGTACTTGTTACTCTTCGGATCACCAGTTTTACGAATAATTGAATAGAGTCCTGTTAAATCGGTAGACGCAATCAAGATCACGTAAAGTTCGTACCCACGCTACATTCACCATCGTCTCAATTGCAGGTAAATTCTCCCTTCAGTTAACAAGCAGACCCCTACTGGAAAAATCTACTTTCAACATCGCATTTATTCCCCTAGACGTTGTCAACGCAATCAAGTTTGCTTAAAAGTAAAGAATTATCCTGTCAGGTCCCAGTTTTTGACTGCAGTAGGTCTTTTTATATCGACTGCTACAGACGAGGCCAGTCCTTTCAAAGTTCGGGCGATCAATAATTCACTGAAGGTTCTGTTTCTGCGCGAGAACGGGAAATGTCGGAAGGTGCAGGCGTGAATAAGTCTCGTATAACTTTCCGAGCTGAGAATATGCGCAGCCTACGTGAACAGCAGCACATCCGCTATGGGCCTGGGACGAATAATTCGGCATTGCTTGATGAACCCACAATACTACTTAACCGTTCGGAGAAAACTATGCAGACGACGCTTGATACAGTCGACATGAATAGCTCGAGTGTCGTGAAGACGACTCTGCGTTTAAACGTGGAACATTCGATGTCTGAGGAGTTAATGGCATCGTTCGAGGACATGCTTGTAGAATATATAGCTAACTGGGATGCAATAAATATGACCGAGGAAGAAATCCGCCAACGTGCCTCACAGTTGCCTCTTGATAGCTCCCTACAGCAGTCCATTCTTAATGTTCTGAGGGAACTAGCTCCAGGAGACAGATCAGTTTCATTGGCTAGATCGTTATCTGTTTCACAATTCTCATATACCCAAGCCAGAAAGAGCCTCGTGGATGGGCCACAATTTACAGAGAAAGAGGTGATCGCCTTATCCCGGGAGCATAAGGTCGCTCGCGATGCTAGCACTGCTCAGGCAGTACGCAACCTACTCCATAGCAAACATCGTCTACAGGTCGTCGGCGCGCTACAGCATCTGCAACAAATTCGGGACAGAATGCACACCGATCGGTCACGTGAAATACTTCAGCTTGACCATGCCCGTCTCATTGCACGACCACATGTTATTAGTCGGGACTTCGGGATCTACCAGTCTTATACGTGCTACTTATGTCGGAACGTTTTTTCTTCCATTGAGTTCCTTCAGGCACACCTGTTGAGTCTGAAACATCACCGACTCTGTCTGTCGAAGGAGCGAAGGCAGGTAGTTAAGTGGGCAATGGAAGAGCCTAAAGTGCCGGCCACTGTAATGAATACAACATCAGCAGAAGAGGGGCAGGAGGGAACTGGGACTGAGACTCCTAGTATACTCCCAGACCCATCCAATGAGGCAGAAAAGGGAACTGAAAATGAGGCTACAGGCAGTAAGAATAACTCTGTGTTCGAACTAATTAACAAAGCCAGGAACCTGAAGGACGTTGCTGAGAACCCAAACAACACCTTCGCCGCTGTGGGGGTACCCAGTGATGCTTCCGATGACATTATCAATCCTATGAAGAACGTTGTTTTTGCTGAATTGTTCGATGAAGCCCAGAGGATTAGGTTGCTCAAATCAAAGAATGCGATCGTTCTTGATTATGGAACATGCCTGTTTTGTGGAACTAAGGTTGACCTAAGTCCTTTAGTGGAGGTGCACAGATGCACACAAGAGGTAAGCCCTTCTTTTTCCCTAAACTGCCATGACCCTCCTTTGCAATTACACAAGATCCATGTGCTTATTGAAGGATTATAAAAGGATTTAGTAGAAACGGGACTCAGGTAAGATAGAAAATTATTGAACGACAAAACAAAATGGTAGCACCTTTTTTTACTAATAACGCATAGGATAATAATGCCGTATTGATAAGGCCTTAGCGTTATTATTGACATTGTTCCGAACAACGACTTCGAAATCTTCCGACTTAATTTTCTATATAGTTCACTCCAGCTTTAATGATGTTCCCCTCTCGATTAACTTGTTTATAGGTAGAGAATAAGAAGGAATGTCGATCAGCGGGATCATAGTTTTATTCGTCTTGGCTTTTGAACCCCTACTGGAGTCCATCGTCAGAAGAAAAAGCGTTAACGAAAAAACAAGCAACTGTTATGGGATGCAGGGGCCAATCGACCACCAGTGATGTCAGTTCGGACATGCCAGCGCAGGGCGATATATGCCGGCGCCAGATCGATAAATCGATTGGCTGAGGTCTCATCCAAAGTCCAGGCTTCAATCAGTTATCCGCCTGTCTTGTTGTCAGCATGGGCGATTACCCTCGCAACTATGAGGTTAGACTCGTGACCCGTCTCGTAGGTGTGAGCAGCCACTTGCGATAATGCGTCACCCCCGTCTTACAGTCAGCTTATGTTATAGTATTCCGGCAAAGACAAGCAGCCTAAGATAACTATTTCTGGCTTTATTTGCCGTCGTCAGCTAGGGGTAGCCAACTCTAGTGTAGCCACTGAAATTGCTGTCACACTCGAGTTTCGAACTCGAGTCTCGCCGGTCAGAGGCAAACGTCCTAACCATTGAGCCACGAGTTCGCTGTCTCGCCAGCTTATGTCTGTCAGCTTATGTTCGTGTATACGCGAACCAGGCATGCGTCCAGTCTGTCCTGTGTAATTTCGAGGACAGTTTAGGCATAGTATGCGATAAACTACGCCCAACTGCTCACTGGGATGCAGTCGGTTCTTTATTATCATGACCCAGCTGCGCACGGTAGCCGGTGCAGTGAACAGTGAGCAACGATAACTGTAGTGTTGGGGTCCCGGGTGGGAGTAGATTTAATTTTAGGGCTATTGGGTTTGATTTATATTAGGGTTAGTGTTGGGGCTAGGAAACGGGAATATTTATCCCTCCTAGAATTTAGCGCAAGGGCACCTTTATTATATGGGCGGGGCGGGCATATTCCCGTGTTCTGTTTAGATAGCCATATAAGTAATCAGTACCGAGGTTTATTGGAGGTCCGATGATTTGAGTAGTTATTTCACCTTCTTCGTCTTTAGAGATAATAGCGCATAATATGGCGCACTTTGATAGATGTAAAGCCCGCAAATGCCGATTGTGCGACCGCATGGGAGGAGTATTTCACCGTGACTTGTGTCGCCCTTGCCCTCGTAGACCACGGAGGTTATTGGCAGCCCCGAGTTTTTCACACCGGAACTGTCTCCGGTCAAGTAGGTTCGTAAAACAATTGCATTGAACTACTTGGTCATATGCGCCTCCATGTAAGGCTGCGATAGACCATCGCAGTCGAAGTTGCATCACCGCATATCTCTCCACCAGCACATCACACACAAACCCGTCTACGTTACCCATCACAGCACGGAATAGACTTTCCGTACACAAGTGGAAGACATGCTGCTTGATTCCTTCTCCATATGGCCTCTAAGATACCCGAGAAGTTCACCGTTTGTGTGTAAGTACTGTGCGAAGACAAGGTCGGCCGCGGCACACGCAGATGGGCTGTGTACTTCTGTCCCCTTCTTATGCCCAGTTCGTGTAAACGATGCGTAGGACAGGAAAAAAAAGTGAGATAAGGTCTGTGAACTCCGTCCCAACATTCCACAGCGCACATTTTCACTACAAGCAATCTGACGCACTTGTAAATTATCACGATCCGATAGAAGCCGGGATTCGGGAGGCTGCCAGTTAATAGGATACCTCGGTCTTCCGCTCAGAACGGCACGTCAGTATGCCATGCTTCCTTCTTAATATGTTCTCCATGGCACTCCCATTTGGTTGAGATCTGAGCCGTATCCTTCTTGCTTATGTACAATCCTGACACGCGTAGACGGACAATTTAGTCCTGTCGGCTAATGCCTCGATACCAGCTCCGGTGTTCTTGACTTTTGTGAGCCAGGCCTGAGGTGGGTGCGGGAGAAGAGAGCCCGGTAGGTACAGCACAATTTTGCAAGGTGGTCACACCTTTGATAACCCAACGCAGTCGGGATTTCGTAGAACACATCCTTCCTCCAAATGTCTTTCAATGTCTGCTTATTGGAACGTAGCCTTGGTTGAGGGGGCCAAAGCACACTCAGTACCCTGGGCGGCATATGGCAGTGAAGAATGGTGGATAGAAACACATAGAAGGTCGATGTGCCTAAAAATCAACAGCTTTGTAAAAGGAAAAAAGTAATTGCTCACATATTTTCGCTAGCAAAGGTAAATATCAGCAAGCTATTTCGGCAGCACGAATACATGATTTGGCTTTGGGAAAATTAAGCGAAAGAGTACTTCAGCATTATTAGCAACGAGCAACGGTACCACCAAGCAAAAACATCCTTTGCGTTTTAATCGACCCGGCCCAAAAGGTTAAACGCCCTGCGCCTTATTCAGTGTTGGAGCCCAAACAAACATGTATTTTCACTGACGTATTTATCTGACCCGCCATTCGCTGCCGCACTTGCCCCTCTGTTCAGGCCACAACACCAGACCGTGAGCACTGACAGAAAAGTCAGAAACTCACCCACAAGCGACAGCCCAACCGTAGATTCGGACGATATCCACCATGTGCTCCACAACATGGTGGTACATGGACGGTGACTTATGCGTGAATTCCTTTTAAGTGATTGTAGACTTGCGTTGCATCTATCACACCCCCTCCTCCCCAATCCGCTTGTGCCCGATGTCAAGACAGGGTCAAGAAGACCGAAGGTGGGAGGCGCGGCCGGAGCAGGCACCATGCCTGACGCAGATCCCTCGAACTGGGAGTACCATAAAGGTAACAGGTGGCTGGCGCCTGAGCCTGCACCTACGCATGCCACCAACGTTCCCATGTTCTGCATTTGTTATGTGACCGTAACCCGAATAGCGCCTGACTGGCGTCCAGCACGCGGCCCGTTTAGGTGACGCAGCCCA